CTGTTCACGTAGAACGGCGTGTAGCCTGTCGAGGCGTGCACGGCGTTGTTCAACGCGAACTCAACGAGTGGCAGCATGGCGCTCCAGCGCTTCGGCGTCTTGGCGCAAATGCTGCGGAGCACGTCCTCGACGACGCGATTTACGCGCTCTGTCTGACCATCGGTCTGCGGATGGTCCGCCGTGGACATGTCCAGCTTGGTGCCAAGCACCGCAAAGACCGCGCTCCAGAAGCTGCCCGTGAAGCGGGGGTGTCGGTCCGAGAAAATCGACTCTGGGCGTCCGTGTTGTCGAAACACTCGGTCCAAGAACAGCGTTGCTGTACCTTTACCATCGATGGTATCCGGCACAGCCGCAATGTGAGCCATCCTGGGCCCGCCTTACTGCCGCCTGTTTTGACCGCTGGGATCTGCCATTGTCAGACATGTATACCCCGTACGTCTTCCCGAGCGAAAACGGTCTGCGCTGCGGGACGCGCGAATTGAATTATGGCCCACACCAGTGGCGCGGCGACTTCCAGTTCAACATCAGCCGCTACAGTCAACAGCAACTGATGGAAACCAGGCCAGCTCGGTATGGAGATCGAGCAAGATGTGGCGACTGGGAAGGTGTCGGTGCGGCAGACCAAGTTCGCGAAGGACATTCTCGAGAAGTTCAAGATGGATGAGAGCAACCCTGTGAAGACACCGCAGGATCCGGGTCTGAAGCTGACCAAGGCCATGTGCGAGGGAGGCTGCAAGCACGACGAGACCATGGCGAATGTTCCGTACCGGAACGCCGTGGGCTGCCTCATGTATCTCATGGTGGGGACTCGTCCGGACCTCGCAGCGGCAGTGGGAGTGCTGAGCCAGTTCGCAGCGGACCCATGTCCGACACACTGGCAGGCGCTCAAGAGGGTCTTCCGCTACATCCGAGGCACGAAGACGCACGGCCTCGTGTTTCAAGCGAGCAGCGAGGACGGACTGCAAGGCTACTCGGACGCGGACTGGGCCGGCGACATCGAGTCTCGACGGAGTACGAGCGGCTACGCGTTCATGATGAACGGCGGATGCATCAGCTGGCGAAGCAAGAAGCAGCGCACGGTGGCGCTCTCGTCGACGGAAGCCGAGTACATGGCGCTGTCGGAGGCCACGCAGGAGGCGGTGTGGCTCAAGGTGTTTCTGTGCGAGCTGGGCGAGATGGCGAGCGATGAAGCGGTGAAGATCTACGAGGACAACCAAGGCTCCATCGCGTTGGCCAAGAACCCGGAGTTCCACAAGCGCACCAAGCACATCGACATTCGCTACCACTTCGTGCGCGAGAAGGTGGAAGACGGTCAAGTGGTGTTGCAGTATGTTTCGACACTCGACATGCTGGCGGACATCATGACGAAGCCGATCGCGGCGCCGCAGTTCGACGCGCTCAGGACGAAGCTGGGCATCGTGGTCGCTGACGAGTCGAGTGGGAGTGTTGTCAAGACTGATGTGACGACGCCTCGCCAAGCGACCGTGTGACGCGAACGCGTCATCAGTGAGGTCGGCGTGACCTTCACTGTGTTGTACCGCAATCATTCAGGTGATTACGGGACGATGATTACGTCACGGTGATTACGCCATGATTGTGGGTACAGGATTGTGGGTACAAGATGGGCATCGACGTGGCGTTCTCTGATTGGATAAGGTAACTGTGTATCCAGTAGAGAATCCAGTAGGGTGTACCCAGTAAGAGGTATCCAGTAGCAGGCTTAGAGGTAGCACGCGGTTGCGAACTAAGGACCTGAATCGAATCACTTTGCATTTTGCCAACTACTGCTCAAGTGTTCTTCCTTTTGTATTAGTATAGCCAATTATGGTCATGTTCATTAATACCAAACTCATCGATACCAAGCACGCTTACAAGCGTGAGGCAAATAACAACCTAAAGGAGTTGAAATCGCTCATGGGAAAGTTGATCGTCAAAGACCCGCCTATCGCTGACAGCGCGTTCAAAGCTGCTAAACCAGGCGGTAGCGTCTGGACATACTCCGAACCCAAAAAAAGCCGCACGTTTAAGCTGTAAGCTCTCTAAGCTGAGCAACCTCTTTCTTTAGCTCCTCGATTTGACCTTGTTGCTCTTGGATCGCTCTCGCTAAAACCGATGTCAGGCTAGCTAGATCAATTCCCCATGGGTTAATTGGAAACCCTTCTTGATTTAAATCATCGTTTGCTCCGATATCAACTGCTTCTCGGACGATTTCGTACAATTCTTGCGCTATGAATCCTACATGAGAGGTACGCTCCTGTATCATAGTGAATTTCCTTGGCTTCATCTCCATAACTGTATTCAGGCCATATGGACAGTCTACAATGTCTGTCTTTAGCCTCTCGTCCGAAGCATTAGTGTAGCTACCACCTCGCACCTGTTGTCAAGACTGATGTGACGACGCCTCGCCAAGCGACCGTGTGACGCGAACGCGTCATCAGTGAGGTCGGCGTGACCTTCACTGTGTTGTACCGCAATCATTCAGGTGATTACGGGACGATGATTACGTCACGGTGATTACGCCATGATTGTGGGTACAGGATTGTGGGTACAAGATGGGCATCGACGTGGCGTTCTCTGATTGGATAAGGTAACTGTGTATCCAGTAGAGAATCCAGTAGGGTGTACCCAGTAAGAGGTATCCAGTAGCAGGCTTAGAGGTAGCACGCGGTTGCGAACTAAGGACCTGAATCGAATCACTTTGCATTTTGCCAACTACTGCTCAAGTGTTCTTCCTTTTGGTTATGAGCCCAAGCCCCGTCTTCCCTGACCAAGACCCCGACTACGCCTTCGCCATGGACGCCGCCCCGACCGCGACCGCCCGCATCAACAAGTTCGACGGAACCAACTTCCACACATGGAAGTTCAAGATGCAGATGGTGCTGGAGGAGCGCGAACTGTGGGAAGTGACGAGTGGGGAAGTGAAGCTCGAGCAGTGCACGACCGCGGCGGACCAAGCGACGTTTCGCAAGAAGTCGCGCAAGGCGCTGGCGATCGTCTGTCTCGCGTTGGAGGACTCGCAGCTGCCGCTGGTGCGGTCGGCGAAGGACGCGCATGATGCATGGTCAAGACTCGAGGGACACTTCGAGAAGAAGAGCCTGGCGAACAAGCTCTTTCTTCGTCGACGGTTCTTCACGACAACGATGGACGAAGGTGATGATGTGCTGGAGCACATTAACAAGCTCAAGACGCTGGCGGAACAGCTCGACGCGGTCGGCGCTCCGGTCAGCGAGGACGACTTGGTGATCACGCTTCTTGCCAGTCTGAGCGAGTCGTACCAGTTCCTCATCACGGCGTTGGAATCGCGTTCCGACACGCTGACGTGGGAGCTCGTGACGTCTCGGCTCCTGCACGAGGACATGAAGCGCAAGGAACAAGGTGGCGGTGCTGACGGAACCGCGCACGCTCAAGGTCAAGCGTTCATGACAAGCGACAACGGGAAGCGCAAGGGACGGCAGGCGCAAGCGCAGAGGACGAGCGCCTGTCACTACTGCGGCGAGCACGGACATTGGATCGCCAAGTGTCCGGTGCGGATCCGCGAGAACGGGGAGCGGCAGAGGCCGCAACGAGCGAACGTCGCGCAGGTCGAAGATGACTCTGGCGACTTCCTCTTCTCGGTTGGTGGCGACACGGGTGCCTCCAAGCTGAGCGGCATGTGGTTGGTCGACTCGGGTGCGACGCAGCACATGACGTACTCGAAGGAGTACATGAAGAACTACAAGAAGATCTCTCCGGTGGACGTGCATCTGGCGGACGACGGCGTGGTTCAGGCGGTGGGGAGCGGCGACATCGTGATGTCGATGCAGACACCGCGCGGCATGAAGAAGGGTGTGCTCACGGGTGTGTGGCACATCCCGAAGCTGTCGCGCAACCTGTTCTCCGTCGGCCGCTTCACCAAGGACGTCGGGCCAGTGACCTTCGAGAGCGACGGGTGCTTCGCGGAAACGAAGGGTCTCAAGTGGAAGCTCGGCGCTCGCGAAGGCAAAGGACTGTTCAAGCTCTGCATGACGCCGAGGACGCCTGCTGACGAGGCCAATGCGGCAAGCTCGAAGAATCGCCAAGGGGACACCACGTCGTACCTCTGGCACCTTCGACTTGGTCACATCGGCCATGGTGGTCTCGACGCCATCGTCAAGAAGGGCTACGGCACTGGCATCCCAATGACGTCGGTGAAGCAGTGGGAGGTGTGCGACGGGTGCGCACTCGGCAAGCAAACGCGAGTAAGCTTCATGAAGTCGTCGCCGAACCGTGCGAAGCAAGTGCTGGAGGTGGTCCACAGCGATGTGTGCGGTCCGATGCAGACGGCGACGTTCGGAGGCAAGCGCTACTTCGTCACGTTCATCGACGACAAGTCGCACTTCTGCGTGGTGTACCTGCTACGGAACAAGTCGGAGGTGGCTGCCAAGTTCGCTGCGTTCGTCGCGTTGGCTGAAACGCAGACCGGCAAGCGAGTGAAGGTGCTTCGGAGCGACAACGGCGGCGAGTACACTTCGGGTGCGATGGCCAAGTTGTGTGCGGATCGCAGCATCGAGCAGAAGTTCACGCCACCATACACGCCTCAGCTCAATGGAGTGGCCGAGCGAATGAATCGGACGCTGGTGGAGTGTGCGCGCTGCATGCTGGAGCACGCCGGGTTGTCGAAGGAGTACTGGGGAGAAGCGGTGATGACGGCCACGTTCCTCCGCAACCGGTGTCCGACGCGCGCCATCAGTCACGACAAGTCGCCGCACCACGTTTGGACCGACAAGAAGCCTTTGCTGGCCAACCTCAAGGTGTTCGGGTGCCACGCGTACGTGCACGTGCCGAAGGAGAAGCGGTCGAAGTTCGACGCTCGGTCGGTGCGCTGTCGTTTCCTCGGGTACTCGGAGCACGAGAAGGCGTATCGGTTCGAGGAGATCGAGAGCGGTCGCGTGTTGGTGAGCCGCGACGCGCAGTTCATGGAGGATGTCTTCGACGGTGGGAGACGCGACTACGCTTCGAAGGAGGTGTTGGTGGGTCTTCCGACAGATGATGATGAAGACACCACGGATGAAGAGACTCAGTCCGGATCAGACGAGAACAGCGAAGAAGCTGCGCGGAATCAAGACTTTGAACCCGGCAGCAAGCGACACCCGCGCACGCAGTCGCTCGAGGAAGCCGTGGAGGTTCCGAGTGCCAAGCGGTATGCGGTGCCGAGACGACAGCAGCCGCTGGACGAGATGTCTGCCGCAGCACAAGAGAAGGAAGACTTCGAGGCTGCGTACGTCGTGGATTCAGTGGGAGAGATGCCGACAACGTTCAAGTCGGCGATGGAATCCAGCGACGCAGACAAGTGGAAAGAGGCGTGCGACTCGAAGGTGGAGTCGCTCCGCAAGAACGAGACGTGGACCCTGGTGCCACTGCCGAAGGGACGCAAGGCGATCGGCTGCAGATGGGTGTTCCGCGTGAAGGAGAACCAGTCTGGAGAGATCGAGCGGTTCAAGGCGCGACTGGCGGCGAAGGGGTTCTCGCAGAAGTACGGCATCGACTACGACGAGACGTTCGCGCCGGTGGCCAAGTTCACGTCGATTCGGGTGTTGCTGAGTCTGGCGGCCAAGTACAAGCTCACAGTGCACCAGATGGATGTGAAGACCGCGTTCCTCAACGGCTTGTTGGACGAGGACATCTACATGGCGCAGCCGGACGGATATGTGGACGGAGATCGACCCGACTACGTGTGCCGGCTCAAGCGTTCGCTGTACGGCCTGAAGCAGTCGCCGCGGATGTGGAACAAGACGATCGACGAGTTCATGTTGAAGCTGGGGTTCAAGAAGTGCGAGTCCGACCACTGCATTTACTTGAAGCGGGACAATCACGACATGATGTTCGTGGCACTGTACGTGGACGATCTGGTCCTCGCCAGCAGCAGCGACAGGATGCTGAAGGACACGAAGCAGGCGCTGAGTGACCGGTTCGAGATGACCGACATGGGCCAGCTCAAGTACTTTCTCGGTATGGAGATCGAGCAAGATGTGGCGACTGGGAAGGTGTCGGTGCGGCAGACCAAGTTCGCGAAGGACATTCTCGAGAAGTTCAAGATGGATGAGAGCAACCCTGTGAAGACACCGCAGGATCCGGGTCTGAAGCTGACCAAGGCCATGTGCGAGGGAGGCTGCAAGCACGACGAGACCATGGCGAATGTTCCGTACCGGAACGCCGTGGGCTGCCTCATGTATCTCATGGTGGGGACTCGTCCGGACCTCGCAGCGGCAGTGGGAGTGCTGAGCCAGTTCGCAGCGGACCCATGTCCGACACACTGGCAGGCGCTCAAGAGGGTCTTCCGCTACATCCGAGGCACGAAGACGCACGGCCTCGTGTTTCAAGCGAGCAGCGAGGACGGACTGCAAGGCTACTCGGACGCGGACTGGGCCGGCGACATCGAGTCTCGACGGAGTACGAGCGGCTACGCGTTCATGATGAACGGCGGATGCATCAGCTGGCGAAGCAAGAAGCAGCGCACGGTGGCGCTCTCGTCGACGGAAGCCGAGTACATGGCGCTGTCGGAGGCCACGCAGGAGGCGGTGTGGCTCAAGGTGTTTCTGTGCGAGCTGGGCGAGATGGCGAGCGATGAAGCGGTGAAGATCTACGAGGACAACCAAGGCTCCATCGCGTTGGCCAAGAACCCAGAGTTCCACAAGCGCACCAAGCACATCGACATTCGCTACCACTTCGTGCGCGAGAAGGTGGAAGACGGTCAAGTGGTGTTGCAGTATGTTTCGACACTCGACATGCTGGCGGACATCATGACGAAGCCGATCGCGGCGCCGCAGTTCGACGCGCTCAGGACGAAGCTGGGCATCGTGGTCGCTGACGAGTCGAGTGGGAGTGTTGTCAAGACTGATGTGACGACGCCCCGCCAAGCGACCGTGTGACGCGAACGCGTCATCAGTGAGGTCGGCGTGACCTTCACTGTGTGGTACCGAAATCATTCAGGTGATTACGGGACGATGATTACGTCACGGTGATTACGCCAAGATTGTGGGTACAAGATGGGCATCGACGTGGCGTTCTCTGATTGGATAAGGTAACTGTGTATCCAGTAGAGAATCCAGTAGGGTGTATCCAGTAAGAGGTATCCAGTAGCAGGCTTAGAGGTAGCACGCGGTTGCGAACTAAGGACCTGAATCGAATCACTTTGCATTTTGCCAACTACTGCTCAAGTGCTCTTCCTTTTTGTAGGTCGATCTCAGGATCTACGAGGCTTACCCGGACCTCTATCAGATTACTACATTGATCCGATCA